AACTCAGTGCCTCGCGCATGCTAGGTGAACACTCTACCACTGGGCCACACCACAGCCCCAAGAGTTATAACAGCATGTTAAGGCATATCAGAAGACCTTGCTCAGGCTCATCTTTGAAAATGATGGAAATAACAAAATGCAAATAACAGGAGTGTAAATGACTCATGGAATGGCCTTAGATCAGCATCCAGCAGTTAGTGGGTGTTCAGTTTGCAGTATCTAATATTCATTTATTTCTCCTTGCCATTTCTCCTCTCTAACATTCTGCCTTCCAGGTCAAGCACTTCTCAGTACAGTGCATTAGGTAATACTGGGGACTACTGCTTCAGCCACTTGTTAGCAGGGTGATCTTGCACCGGTTACTATTTACAGATTCTGGGCTTCATCAGTAAATTGGGAATGTATTACCAGTATCTACCAAACAGTAGTGAGGTGGAAATAATGCATGTGATAGGATTCATGTCCCTGTACTACAGTTGAGAACCCTATTCATGAGACACACCCTGTCCTGGGGACACAACTAATGTGAATGTACTTCATAAAATTCACCAGTTAAGTGCTCAGTAAATGTGAGCTACTGTCTGTTACCTGTTACTTCCACAGCTATGCCTCATCTATCACCAACACAGGCTGCAGAGCTCCTGACCCATCAGGAAGAGGCTGGTCCCCAACCATCAGCCAAGCAGTAAGGAAAGACATCAGCTCACCTGATCTAGCTCTGATTTTCAGGTGCCTGCTTGAAGTCAAGAATTCTGAAAAAAAAATTCTTTTTTTTTTTTTTTTTGTACTGTGGATTAAACCTAGGGGCACCTGACAACTGAGCCACATCCCCAGGCCTATTTTGTATTTTATTTAGAGACAGGGTCTCACTGAGTTGATGAGCACCTCACTTTTGCTGAGGCTGGCCTTGAACTTGCAATCCTCCTGCCTCAGCCTCCTAAACCGCAGAGATTATAGGCATGTGCCATCACGCCCAGCTCTCAGCCCTTTTTTATATTTTATTGAGAGGCAGCATCTCACTGTTTCTTAAGGCCTTGCTAAACTTAGGCTGGCTTTGAACTCATGGTCTTCCGGCCTCAGCCTCCTAAACTGTGGGATTACAGGCTTGTGTCACCATGCCCATCCTGAAAATGATTTTTGTAAGCATGGCAATGACCTGGAAGAGCCCCTGCTACCCACAGACACAGAAATGTCAAGACACAAGCCCAGGATTGATTCATCCATGTCCATGCTTAAGGTACAATTCTGCAGGAAGATACCTTCTTCAGCAACCTGTGCCTAAGGAAGCAGGATGGCCTGGTTCAGGTGGGAGGATGGAGTGGTAGGTCCTTTTAGGCATGAGGAGCTTCCCCGCCATTGCCTGCAGGGGGCGCTGTTGACATGGCAATTCTGTCAAGTGGAAAGCCAAGCCAGTTTCAGAGCCAGAGAAACGGTTCTGTACTTCCAGAACCTCGTTTTTGTCCTTTAGAAAGTGGGTTTGACAACAAATCTGTGAGGCTTCAATGGGACCCAGAGAAGTTTGTGAAAGAAAGCAAAACACACATTCACAAATTAACCTCTCTACATCTCAGTTTATTCATCTATGAAGGGAGATAACCATAGGTTCCTCCCTGTGGATATCCAAACATATAGAAAAAAATAAAGTGTCTGGTACCTTGGAAGCACCAGCAGGTGGTGATAAGAGACAAAGTGCCCTGCCGATTCAGAACATCATATCCAGGTCTTGTCTCCTGCCTCTTGGAGCTCCAGCTGCAGAATCAGAAACAAGGCAACTGTTAGCTACACTGAAAGCCCAGGCTGCTTCAGACCTGCCACTGACCTCTCCAGTCTGTTTCTTCGTCTACACCACTGATGGGATCTCAGGTCCTCTGAGCTCAGAGGATGACTTATAACTAATCTGACACGGAGTGCCGTCTATGGGAAGTCACCGCTGACTGATATTTACTCATTCAACACACTCTGCTAACACTCTGGATCTAAGCCCTAGGGATGCAATGTTGACTAACAGGACTCTTGACCTTGTGGAGCTCACAGTCCAGTTAGGAGATGAATACAGCATCAGGCTAGAATGAAGGAAAAGCTGGGGGCTGGAAGAGCCCAAAGGAAGCAGCTGTCAGATCCCTGGGAGTCAGTGAAAACACCCTGGAGGAGGAGGAAATGTGGAACATCTAAGGAATGAAAAGGGGTTCTGTGAATATTGAGATGAAGGAAAGGATTTCAGACAGGAAGCCTAGGGTGCAAGCAGATGTGGCACAATCAAGACTTTCATAGTGTCAGGACTGGAAAGTAGAAGAGATTTGGACGGGGGTTGGGGGGGGGCGCATCAGTCCTCTCCATCCACCCTGCCTCCTCCAAAGCTACCAACAGGGAACATTCTTTTTTTTTTTTTTTTAAAGATTTATTTTTTATTTTTTTAGTTGTAGTTAGACACAATACCTTTATTCCATTCATTTATTTTTATGTGGTGTTGAAGATCGAACCCAGGGCCATGCACATGCTAATGAGTGCTCTACCTCTGAACCACGATCCATCCCAGCCCCCAACAGGGAACATTCTTGTGTCCTATCTATGCCTCAAGTCCTTCCATTTGCTCACCCACTGCCCAGGTAAAAGAACTACTTCTCTCATGGGGGGGCTCTTTGTCTAGCAGGGGTCAGAAAGCACAGGCACCAGGAGCTCCATTAGCTCAAGTCATGAGCTAGGTACTAGATGTGCACCTAGGTAATGAGCAGGGCACCCAGCACCAAATAGTAGTGATGGAGGATGAGGAAGGCATTCCAGGAGACAGCCAGTCCTCCAGTGGGACACAGTGACATTTCAGAGCAACTCTGTGATTTTCTTTCTTTCTTTTATTTTTTTTGGTACCGGATATTGAATGCAGGGGCACTTAACCACAGAGCCACATCCCCAGACTTATTTTGTATTTTATTTAAAGACAGGGTCTGTCCACTAAGTCCCCCTCACAGACAGTAAGGCCTCAAGGTCGGCTTCTTCCTCCACCACTAACCTCTCCAGATGCTAGAAGGCAGGAGCAGAGTGCCTGCTCTGGTGTGTGTGACTGGTCCCTGGTCCAGGCCCATTCTGAGTTCCTGAAATCTTCTGACCATAGCAAGTGACTACCTTAGGGTTGAGACAGAGGTTTCAGAAATTTTCTTGGCACATCTCTCCCATGATAGCATCTGCCACCTTTGGGTGATGGCAGGCTGCTGACAGGCCCTATATGTCCTCACACAGCCTAACTACAGAGGGATGTGCCACAGTGTAGCTGTCCCTGAGAAGGGCAAGCTTCATGTCCATTGAGCCTGAGGATGGGCCCACTTTTTTTGTTGTTCTGGGGATTGAACCAGGGGTGCTTTATCACTGAGCTGTACCCGCAGTCCTTTTTATTTTTTTTGTTTTCAGACAGGGTCTTGCTAAGTTGCTGAGGGCCTTATTAAATAGCTGAGACTGGCCTTGAACTTGTGATCCTCCTGACTCAACCTCCTGAGTCACTGGGATGATAGTTGTATGCCACTATGCCTGGCTGGGTCCACTTACTTGTAAGAGCCTCTTTTAAAGCCCAGTCATGCCTTGTTGACCTGCCAACAATGACCATGAGGAATGAACTTTTATCCATTTGCTATTCATCTCAAGACCCAACATTTCAATCTAAATTCTTTGGCATAGAATCTTTCTAAATTGGACTATGATTTTCTTCTCTTCTAGCATAGAGATGAAGCATCACTAGAACCTGGCCACAGAACCCTACCCTGTGACCTTGGAAGGTCACTTTCTCTGATCTCAAATGTCTTACTCCATAGAAAGGGTGATCCTGCACACCTGGCAGAGCCACTAAGAAACCACGTATGTAAGCAGAGAACGCAGTGAGCAGGCGCTCAGAACATGGAGGCTGCCAAAACTGTTTTCTTGATGACTCAGGTTTACATTGTGATTATCAATCATCATTCTGTGACTACTTTCTATTTATCTGACTCCTCAGCCATGGATGTCCAGAAAGCTGAGTTGACCATCACTTCAATTTCCTGACTGTATTGCCTGGAAAGTCTCCTGCCTTTCTGCCCCCGCAGAACAACCCAGAGAAAAGATAAAAACCCAGAGCTAGTTCTCAGCTCCGCATGCTTTCACCAATGTGCGAGAAGTAACCCTTAAAGCAAGGTTTCCAGTCAATTGTAATGGAACTAGGAAAGCGTTGGACCCCAGTGAATGTGACACATGACTGCAAAGTCTTATACTTGAGCTTACCTGCTGTGGAGCCCATCAGAACTAGGTTCAAATCCCAGCTGCTTTGTTTGCTAGCTGTGTGACCTGGGACAAGTTACTCAATCTCTCAGTCTTCATTTCCCAATCCAGGAAGCGGTACTAGTAGTCATATCTATTAAATAGAGTTGCAATGGAAGAGAGACCAGTCATAAAAGCAGAGGCACTTTCTCTTTTTCTTAGATGACCGCCTTCATTCCTATTGCTACTTAGCCTCTTGGTCTGGATAACAAAAAAGTATTGACAGCCATAGAGCATGTGTGATTAGCAAATCCCATGTGGTTACAAGACAAGGGTCCCCTAGGAAAGACCAATGAACTGTCTCATTCCCCTTCTTGGGAACCACAGGCCCAAAGTCATTCAACCATAGTTGCCTACAACAAATGCTGGAGCAGAGCTGTGAATCCGCCCACCAGTTCCTGGCCTTTGGGGCAGGATTCAGCTTCCCACACAGTATAGTCCCAGAGCAGCGGATGGGGGGTGGGGTGGGAAGGCCTCCTGCAGGCTTCATGAGCTGCAGGCAGTCCCCAGTGGTTAGGTACGTGGGTGGAACCCAGGAGGGGGAGGTTTATGCAAAACAGTTTGTAGTTCAATCTTTGATGTTTGCTTCCTAAAGGGAGGAGGGGTAGGGAGGCTGTCTCTCCTTTACCACACATCGGACTCAAACCAAGCAAAAAGACGGCAAGTCTAGTGGGATGGGGCAGAGAAGGTGGGAGGAAGGGATAAGGAAGACAGAGAAACTGGGGAGAAAGGCACATGATGCGGGAAAGGAGAGAAGAAAGGGAAAGAAGTGGAGAAAGGCAGAGGAAGGACTGGCAGAGAATATGAGGCACCATGACCACTAGAGGGAGAGAGGTGAAACTCCGCCCAGCACTTCACAGAGAAGTAGAAAGAATCGCTAAACCCAAATAGGCAATTCTAGGAGTGGGGCGAGTTGCAATGCAGTGGCAGGGCTTGAGCCTCAGCAAAGGTGACTGCACAGCTGGAGCTAGGAGGCTTCAGCCTGGGGACTTTCAGGGCCCCCTTCCCCAATCACTCCTCTGGGGGCCTCCCTCCCAGGGCCAAGCAGGCTGGGAACTGTCCATGGCCCGGTGCTGAAATATCCAGGTGATCACCAGCCTCTCAGGCAGAACCTTGCAGTCATCATACAAGTACTTGTTAAGCACCTGCTGTATGCCAGCCACTATTCCAAGCACTGAGGAAAGCAGCAGTGGATAAAACATACAAAAATCCCTGTCCTTATGAAACTTACCTTGTAATGGGAGGAGTCAAAGAGGGAAAATAAAGTCAAGTCCTATGGAGAAAAAGCAGGAAAAGAAAATGAGGTTTAGCAAATGCACCCCAAGCAATGGTCGATGCTGTTCCTTATAAAGGATATAGTGGTGCAGGGAGTGGGCCCTCATATAGGATGTGTTGAGGGGCTGGGGTGCAGCTCAGTGGTAGAATGTATGCCTAGTATGCACAAGGTACTGGGTTCAATCCTCTAGCACCAAAACAAAACAAAATAGAGGATGTGCTGATACTGGATCATGGATCAGAGGGAATCTCAGCTGAGCAACCTGTCAGAGGTCAGACTCCTTCCCCAATCTCACCCCCAGAAAGTTGCTCATTCTCTTTCTGGGGACTTCTCATTCCTCTACCCTCAGACTACCAAGGCCTCTACTGTACAAGAGAAATTGGTTTCCACACTGTGTGTCCAGCATTAGCTTAGACCTGGATGACCTGAGACACTGGGCTATCGCTAACCCAGATAACCCACTTCCTTACTCTGGCTTCAATTTACTTAAGTAGTATATAAAACAGGAACAGTGATCCCTGACAAGTGAGGAGGTTTGAAGAGGCACCAAAGAAAACATGGTGAGTCTTCTCTGTTGTATACAAGGGAGGTAAAGGATTCCATCTCACTGGAGTCTGTTTTCTGAGTTCACTGTGGGGTTTAATCCCATCTAGTGGAATGAATGAAGTGAGTGGCAGCAATGTCTCACAGATGTTCACAGAGAGCTTTATGGCTTTATTGTTCTTTTTGGAGGTATACCTATTGCATTAGTCTCATTTCTGTTACTCTAACAAATATCTGAGACAATCAATTTATAAAGAGAAAACGTTTTGGCTCACAGTTCTGGAAGTTCCAGTTCACATCAGTTGGCTGCTTTGGGCCTGTGGTGAGGTAGCACATCATGGTGGGAGCACATGATGGAGCAAAACCATTCACCTCATGGCCAGGAGGCAAAGGAGAGAAAGAGGAAGAGACTGGAGTCCCACAGTCCCCTTAGGGAACATTCCTAAAGGCCTTCCATTACCCCCTCCACCTCCCCTCTCCCAGATTGGGGATTGAACCCAGGGGCACTTGACCCCTGAGATGGTCCTGACTTCTTAAAATTTTTTTGAGGGGCTGGGGATGTGGCTCAAGCGGTAGCGCGCTCGCCTGGCATGCGTGCGGCCCGGGTTCCATCCTCAGCACCACATACCAACAAAGATGTTGTGTCC